ATCCCCAAAAACGAGGACATTAAATGCCATTTAATGCTGCAGGAGTTAGTGGGACGCGTGGCAGCCCCCTGTTGTTTTAGCCGTTCTGCAGAAATAGAGGGACGCAGCGTGCGTCCTCGTTTTTGGGAATTGTCATAATGACAAATTCTGAAATGACGTTTGGTACTGCACGCCGTACTGAAAGTGACGTCCTAGGTACGGAACAATGATGGTTTTCTTGGGATTGCCAATAGTTGGTAGAAAACAACAAAAAGTGCACAAGTTAGTTTGTGACTAAGCGTGAAAAGACATGTGTCGAATGGCGTTTCAAAGAATGCCTTTTTCTTTCAGAGTCGAAATAAGGCATTCTTGGGGGGCAATTTGTTGGCTCCTAAATTCGACACCTTTGTTTTGTTGATGTCAGCCATTAAAGCTGAAGGATGTCTTCGACTGGCTAAGTCTGTCGAAATGCCCGTCGAAAGATGGCAAAGTACTTAGAAGATTTCTTCCAAGGAAGAAGGCTGGTTGCCTTCGACGTCGAAGGAGTTTCTCGTCGAAGATGTCTCTTGACGAAAGTGTTCGATGGTTCAGAGTGGAGCAGTTTGAAATTCAAGCTTTTGGAGGGAAAACGGTTTCCAGCAGTTACTACGTGCATGCAAGGATCTGGAGCGTCGAACGTGGAGAACGTGCCAAGTGGATTGATCTCGAAGCAGTGTAACTACCCGACGGTTACTTGGGATGTTTTAGTATAAATAATAGTAGTCATGTAGTTTCTCGCGGGTGTTCACAGTTCTATACAAAGTCACTCATATAGATTCGAGTACCCAGCGTGTGAGAAAGAATTGTTGAAAAATGTATGTGTGAAACACCAATTTTATTAATCAAAGTCATTTACTTTTTCCAGAAATTTACTTGCTTTCTCCTTTACATTCTTGTCGAACCTTTTACTTTAAAGCCTTGTTTATTTTACCAAGTCTTTCCTTCATGCAATTTATTTAAAACCTCTTTATTTAAAGCCTTATCCAATTCAATCAAACTTCAAAATCAACCTATGTCCTAGGATCAATCTGATCGATCCTGCGAGTAACCAAATAAGTAACCATTTGAAGGATCAGCGGTTGTTTACCAAAACCCAAGGTAAACACTTAGGGCCCATTTCCTACATTTCAACTTTTCTCTCTCTCCACTTTCTTTGTCGCCTGTACCGTTTCGCTACCTTCCCACCGTCCACACCGCTGTAAGATCTGCCGCGAATTCTCCACCTATTATGATCAAGTAAGTGTTTTCCGTACTGAATGTTGTTTACGATTGGCTTTATTGATGGTTCTTTATAGAATTTTTCTACCGGGGGGTTTTTGCTCGGGGTGTTCATACATTCATGCGTAATATTTGCGAGTGGGCTCATGGTATTCATTTCTTCTCCACAAATTTCATGAATTTACCAATGACATCCATCTATTCACCGCGAAATTCGTGAATTCTGCCCAAGAAATTTATATACTCCCTGGTGAATTTACGAATTTGTCCGGCACATTCATATGTACCTCGCGACATTCATGGATATGCTCGTAATATTTATCCTGTGCCCGCGGTACCCATGAAATATGTGTTTTGTTATTATCATCGTTGTGCGGTCTTACGAGACTTACATAAGTTTCATGTGTTGATCGTGGGTCGTGTATGTTCCTCACTGCACGAGTAATCGCCGACCTAGTCTGGGCGCAGCTATCCTCTTTCACCTGTGCTGCGGTGGAAGAGTGGATGTGATTTTGCTATCAAATTCAATGGTTTCCTCTGCTTTACAGATGAAAAGGCCGATACCCCCGAGTCATCCGAGCACATAGATGTCGAAGAGACAAGCACAATCGAGGAAGGGCTTTATTTGGTCGACACGGTCGATGACCCTGCGCTGCCCTGGGTCGGGCCAGAGCCTCGAGGGATAGTTTTGGTTTATAGTTATAGCAGAAGGGAAGCATATACCGTTGTCGAGCATGGCGGTAATCAAGAAGGTTTTCGTTGGAACTTCATGATCCTGCGACTGACTTCCACGGCCAGGATATGCATGGAATTCGAGGAGGACCGTTTCCCTATGTATGAGGTTGTCTTCAAAGACTTGGGGCTTCGTCTGCCCTTTAATTATTTTTAGATGGGTGTGTTTAACCACTTGAACCTGGCACCCTCTCAATCACACCCTAGTGCGATCGCCTTCATCCGGGATTTTGAAATCACTTGTCAGTTCCTGAGGATCAGGGCGACCATTCCTTTGTTCTTCAGGGTTTTCCACCTCCAATAGCAATCTAGGGGTGGGAAACATAGTTGGGTTTCTTTGAAACAATCGAAGAGATTGCTTAGGATGTATATGGATTTTGTTCGTGACTTCAAGGATAGATGGTATGTTGTGCAACCTTCATCTCAGGCAGCCGTAGATGTTGTGTTCGATCCAGTTTAAATAGTAGATGAAGACGGGGAGGTATGCTCTAACGGGGAGGGCAATCCATAGATTGAGAGAATTTCAAAATTCTCTATCCACTGGTGTTCGGGCCACTACGAGCATAGTCCCGACCATTACCATACCCCTGCTAACAGTATGAGTGTCGAGGATGAAGAGTCCTTCGGTGTACTTAACCGATTCGTCGACGTGTTTTTTCCCTCGAGGTGGGTCACGAGGGAAGGACATGACATCCTTGACGAAGATGGCGAACCAACGTTCGAGGCGCGCCCGGTCAACACCAAGGCGCTCGTTGAGTGTCACACCTACGGGTAAGCCGTGAACCTTATAGGTTTATGCTCGCATGATTTATTGTATTTTTACTTCTTGAGTTATTTGTTTATGTCTTTCTAACGAGGCTAACCCGAGGATATTGTTTTTGTTTTTGCAGGTAACATGGCAAAGCGTCGTGAATGACGGTTGAAGCTGACCCAGGAAAAGAAGAATCACAAGAGGTTGGTGAAGCTGCACCAGCCCACACGCCTTGGTTCGGTCTCAGAGCCGGACAAGGATGGTTCGAGTAGGGAGTCAGGTACTCGCGGCATCGCAAATCATGCAATTGTGTTGAGTAAGAAGAGAAGTCGTCCCAAAGGTGGACTTGCAAATGTGACCGAGGAGGGGGTGATTGCCCGGACCTTCAACCTTCCCCTTTGTTTCGTGGAAAAGGATTTCTTCGAGGGTTTCACTCTGACAATGTCTAATGCTGAGTCTAATATTATCAGACGCCTCGACGAGGAGGGTCGAAGGAAGCACCTGACTTCCAGGATGGTCGGTCTGATGAAGGTTGCGGAGATGGTCGTTGTCCTTGCAGGTGAAGGAGCCGACTCTTCTGGACTGGTGATGAAATTAAAGTCGGAAAAGGCGACTCTTCAGGTGAAGACGCAGAAGTTAAAAACTGCCCTCAAGCCGAGCGAGGAGAAGTTTCAGGGGTCGGCCGACGAGTTAGCGAGGGAGAAGGAAAAAGTTGCCAAAGCTTATGAGGAAAGGGATTCCCTGTTGCTTGAGAGAGAATGGCTGGAAAAGGAGGTCGCCGATTTAAAGGCTGTCATGCTGCCCGTGGACGGAGAACCTGAAGGAGTCGTTGATTTGCATTCCCGGGCGGAGCTAGTTGCTCGAATCCAGATCCTCGAGTCAGATTGCGTCGACACTTTGACTGACGGCTTCGAGACCGCACTGGCTCAGCTATCCGTGCTAAATTCGGGGCTCAACACTGACGGTGTCGGGGTATTGTCTCAAGTGATTGATGGTCAGGTGGTTCCTCCTCTTGATTCTCCCGAGGTGGAGGTCGAAGTGAGCACTCCGTGGAGTGATTAGTATTTCTGAGATATCTTGGTTGTTTGTATTCGGGGTCTGCGTGCCTGTACTTTTTGTAATATTCAGACAATGCCGTCCCTCGTGGTCGATATTTATAAATATTTTTATTTTGTTTTTATGCCTTTACGTTTTCGTTGATGCTTGCTAACTATCTGTTCGTCGTTGTTTTTGATTTGTTTATTTTATGAAAATTTATAATTTTAATGACTAGAGGTTTTTGTCCGACATAGTCAGGGACAGACTCGGTCAGCAGACCTCCTCGAGCAACCTAATTGAATTGAGCCTCATATGAAATTGAGTCAAGTGCAGACCCAGTCCAGAACAAAAACTAATATCATTCTATGTAAATGTTGAATCTTAGAATTGATACAAAATAGAGGTACACCTGCTTATGGAAATTCCCATTAAGATTGCTCAAATAATACCTCCAACCCAGGTCCGATTGATTATCCAAAACGGGTTCTTGAAAGTCATGGACAAATACTCCAGAAGACCATCCTATAAAAAACTAACTAAAGCCGAGGAAAACAACCATAATGACATATTTTCCATCATCAATACGTGGAAGGGTCCTATCACAATTCAAGCAAATCTTTCGAAACTAGCACACAACACTATCATACATAACAAACAATTGCGCACGTGTGTTAAGGGACTGCAATTTCTACGCACTTTCTAAGGACTAGTGCTAAGCAATTGCTTCTATTGATGTGTATGAAGTACCAACAATCAATTTGACATTGAATAACAATACATGGAGAAGATGTGCAGAGATGACATGTATGTCAAAGAGACAGATAGAAGAAGAAAACTGAAGAACTTGCTAACCTGTCAAGTGATAATATGAACAAACTTAATATACACAGTTTCTTCATAAACAAGTACATTATACAGTTTCTTTCAAAAGAAACAGAAACAGAAAAAAGAATAAACGAGACAAGGATACCAAGTGGCAATGCTACTTCTACTATACATTAACTAACATGTGACTTCCATTCCTTTAGCCTCAAAAAAGATTTTTTCCATCTGAAAAATGTTCTGAAGTGAATTCCATTTTTGGGCTCCAAACACCATACTTTTCTCTTTCTTTTGGAAAGAATTGATCACATGTTCATGAGTGTTTTTCTTCAATAGCCGGTGCACGGAAAATTCTCTTCTCTCTCCTCGAAACAAAGCTTGTCATACTTGTTGATGTTTATTCCATTGGTATCTTCACCGTTCATCCACCTCGTTGTTTCTTAAGTTGTACACGAGCCTCCAACAATGCTCGATTTACTTCCTCGTCTCCTGGTGTCTCTCTTAACAAGATCTCATAGTCTACTATTGAAGCTTCCCATCTTTCCAACTATAATCAATTATACAGTATTATCAACATCACGCATATCATATAAACAGATTAATCTTAACAATATAAAATATTAATTAAGTGCTATGAAAGATTTATATTAATTACCTTAGCATTACAATCAGCTCTTCTCATCCTTGCTTTGGTGTAAGATGGGCGCAAGCTTAGCGCCGCAGAGCAATCTTCCACCGCTTTCTCTAATTGGCCGAGTTTTGATCTACAGGCTGCCCGATTGCATAGTAAAACAGAGTTACAAGGATCATTCTCAAGCCCTTCTCCATATGCAATACAAGCCTCAGAGAATTTCGATGCCTTGAAAAGCTCGTTTCCTCTGCCTCTTGCAGCTGTCACGGCTCGAGCTTTTATCAATACCTTCATTGCTGCCTTGTTGTTTGAATCTAGCCTTGCTGCTTTCTGTGCTGCCTCTAAAGCATCATCAAATCTGATAACACAATATTTAATTATTGTGATTTGTCAAGTACATTGTTTTTTAAAATCATTGGTAGAAGCTAAATAAGTACTAGTTCTAATTACCTGCCAGCAGCCATATCAACTTGAGCGCGCGTGACTAACAAATTTGCATTACCAATTGGTCCAAAGAACTTTGTACAATCGTCAACATCAAAATTAGGACCCTTTTTCATTACATTGTCTGCATCTTGATGCCTACGGAGTTTGATAAAGGCTTCGGCTTGCAATGCAAATATCTTAAAAGGCCAAAACCAGTTTGAATATCAGAACATAATCAGTTGAAACTTCCAACATAACATGTATATGTGTGTCTGTATGTGAGAGAGAAATATATTAAGGTAATAACTTTAAATTGAGGCTAGCAACTGCGGCCACGATATAACGTTTTTGGAGGTAATGATGTCGCAACCACAATTGCGGCCACATTTGTCTCCATTTTACTGCAAAATAAAGACCCGCTGCATAACTGCTAAGGTGACTCTAACCGCTATTTAAAACCATAATCTAAAATTATCGATGATATGATACGATATATAGGCCAATTAATAAATGATGAATACCTGTGGAGCAGAATCTGCACCAGATGATATAGTGTTGGAAGCCTCGGTAATGAGTGTGTTCCAATCTCCTAACCTGCGAGCCTCGGTGCATTTATTTAGATGAGCTTGAAGAATCTTCACTTTAGCAACCTCATCAGGATCAGCCTCTGGTCCCGATTGTTTATAATGATAAAGAGCCTTATCCGTCTCTCCTAATCTGTAATCAACAACAAACACGCGCTTTCAGTCACTCCCTCCAATCTTAAATATAAAGCAAAAATTAGCATTGCATAATTGCATATGCATACCTACCTTAAATGCAAATTCCCTAAACGATGATGAGCTCGATGATAATGAGGATCAATCTGAATAGCTTCCCTACATTCAAACACAGCTTCAAGCAACCTACCAAGACCCGTTAAGGCCGCGCTTCTATTACTCCTATACGAAGCCTTTTTAGGATCAATTGAAATAGCTGCCTCATACAACGCTAATGCCTCCGCAAATCTCCCATTCTTATAATCCTCATTCCCCATCATCTTCAGTTGTTCTGGATCCATTCTAGTCGATATAGCCCTACAAAGCGAACCACCACCCGAATTCATCGCTGGTTTCGTCTCATTACTAATACTCACCACATTCTTCTTCTGTCCTCCACCATTTGAACTCGAATTCTCAAAATACTGATTATAGTTATCCATTGCAATTGAATAACTATTATCCTTATATCCTTGCCTAATATTACCTAAGTTCCCATACAACATAACATTGCCAGAAGAAGCGCGAACGAGATTACCACTCCCCTTCGATTTTTGATGATCATTGATCATACTTTCTAACTCACCCGAAATTCCAATAGCTTCCTTTTGTACCCTCCTTCCTTGATTAACATATCCCTGAGTAGCCATTGAAGCCTTCGATGGAACAGGAACAGGACGAGGTGGTATTGTAGTTTCATTTTGGTTTCTCCTCTGCGGATTATTATTATTATTATTATTATTATTATTTGGCGAACAAGACTTTGTAACAGAACGTGCAGTCGATGTATTGCGCGAAGGTGCATCTACGTAAACAACCTCTTTAGAAGCACTTTTACGTCGTATTGTATCATTTGAAGCGGCATTGTTTGGTAAGGGAAGAGAACTCGCAGAGGATGTTTTTCTTGGCCATAAACTGTGTCGAAATACGCTGGTTATTAATGATCCACAACCTGCTTTTTGCTCTGGCGAATTGTCTCCCATTTTTCTTTTCTATCTTTTAAGGGTTTAAACACTTGGAAACCTTAGAATCCAAAATGTTGCAGACATGAAGTTTGAAGGGACGATCATGAGAGAAATTGCAATAGAGGATGCAGGTTAGGTGTTTGTTGAAATGCAAGCGTTGAAATGCAAGCGTTGAAATTGTGCTATTGTTTCTGCTTTTGATTTTTGTTCTTTGAATTCTGTAAAAAAAAATTTTTGTTTGATAGTATTGGTGACAGGAAAAGCAACAAATTCGGTCGTTGGCTTAATAAGGATATTGATAATTTTAGAAATGACATTTCATTTAGAAAACAATAAGGATGACACGGAAAGAGAAGGCTTTTCAACTTCATAAGTTTCCAGCTGTAACATGCCAAAAATTAAACTATAACTTATGGGAATTAAAGTCGAAAACTTGGTTTATAATCTAACTTTAAAATGGAACGCGGTTTTATTGTTTTTGACCTTTTGTAGAATTTTTTAAAGGAAATACATTGACTATGATGTAAAAAAGTTTTATACTGTGATTCAATATAATTATATTACTTTGTCATGTTATATAATTTTTTTATAAATTACAATCTTGACGAAATTTATAATCGTAATTAATTAATAATGTATTTTTTTTACACTGTTAATATATCATTAATTTTTTCTTTTTTTTATTAGAAATTGAAATATATATAATTGTCAAACAAAAAGAAAATAAATTGAAATGTATTTAATAGAGTTTGTGTAAAATAGCTAAAGTTTATTTACCGTCATTCAATATCCAATAAAAATAGTGAAAAATAATGATACATTAATTTTGTAAATTAATTTTATACTGTCAACTAATCACAATTTTGTATTAGAATAAATTATATTTTAATTTTAAATTTTTTTTTAATAATAAGATAGTTTGTTAGTTTTCTATTAGGTGACCGTGTAAAATAATTTTATACTGTCAATACGTATAAATTAAACGCATAAAAATATCAATTTATTATATTATTGAAAATTAAAAAAAAAATTCAATGGAGTATACATCGTTGATTGATTTTTTTAAAGAAAAAACCATTAATTTATAATATTATTAAAGTAATTTTATAATATATTTAATAAAATATACATTCATTGATTGATTTTAAAATTATTGTATACTTGCTTATTCTATTTTCTTTTAATTAGTAAAAAATATATATTAAAGTATGATAGTCGAACTTACATATAACTTTGTATCATTTAGTGAATGTCATTGGATTAATCAACTGAGTTTTATTTTTAAAAAAATTGTTTTCTCATTTTATAAAACTTTCTAAACCTTTTGTTATAAAAATATTTTTAAAATTTAAAACATCTTTTCTGAATTTTTTGAATTCTAAAGTATTAAATGGTTGAATCTTAAATAATTGCAATTAACACAAAAACAATCGTGAATCTTATTTAAGATATGGTTAATGTTAACATGCACCGAGTCGGAAATTTTGAATAATCTAGACAAAAAAATTAATATAATATATAATTTTATATTTTATTTTTATTAATTTTATTTCTAATTTTATCTAAAAATTAATTATTAAATTAGAGAGTATATAAAAAAATAGAAGTTGAGCTAGACGAATGTCCGGACTTACTGAACTATAAAACTGTCCTTCTAACATGTATCATAAGAATACATATTAAAAAAATCTAAAAATAAAAAATTTATATTAAAAAAATGAAAATATTAATTATAAATTTTTAATTAAAAAATACACAAATTCTAACCAATAATTTATACGTTTAACTCTTCAAGTATCTTAAAACACATATCAGCGTTACCTTAAAATATCTAAAAAATCGTAAATATTACTTATTATTGACTCCTAATTAACATGTTTGACTCGATATATATTAAAAGTGTGTAAATAAAAAATTATTAAATTATCAAATTACTTTTAGACTATTAGTATTTTTTCACTATCATAAATATAAAGTTGACCTTTATTAAATGTATCAAATTATTTTTAATCACTATTAATATGAATTTGATTCAAAGGTGAGCTTTATTATTTATAATAAATCAATAAAATATTATTATTTTTTCATTTTATTTTATACTATAAGGTTGCAATGGTATATATGGGCTATAAAATAATTCTACCACTGAATAAACATTATTAAATATATGAAATTGAAAATGTTAATTGTCAAATACCAACCAAAAATAAAATATAAATAGATAAAAATATCAATTAAATACAAACAAGATGATAGATTAGATAAATTAGTTATTAGTTCTTCAAGTTCAACCATAAATGCTATAATTTCATCAAATGTCTTGTGACTAATCAAATTTGAACATGTAGTAAAAATAAATTTGACAAAGATAACATTTAACTCGATCAATCAAATGGTACTATACTAACCACATATCGAGAATATGATTCTCGTATCACTGTCGTTTTAAAGTTGTATATTGGTAAATCGAACATGTCCATCATCTTTAATCGAAAAATAACAATATACACACTATCCGCTCTTCTTGCTTCAAGTTGGTTAAGACATTAGTTCATTTTATCAAATTAGTGTTTCAGATTAGACAGGTAACATTAATATTGATCCTTAACAAATATGGGGTTCCTCTTGTCATAGTAAACTACGACAAGATTACAAAAAAATGAAAAAAAATATCATTTTATACAAGTTCGTGTGCATTCCACTCTATAAAAAGTGTTGGCACAATATATATCATTAAATATAATCCAATGAATGAACATGTTTTCGATTATAAAATGTAAACCATGCAAAAACTCCTTCAATATTAGTTCATATTATAAAATTCAAATATAAATTATACAGATTCTATAGTATATGAAATCGTCTTTTACACCATAAGAATCTATGTTTTATATTTTTTTTTTGGGGATATAATAACACCTTTAATTTGCACCAACATAAACAATAACTTAAAATGACATAAAAAATTTAACCAAAAATATCCAAAATTATCTATAATATACCATCTCAAGCAAAATACATGATAATGTTATACCCAAAATACAATCTAATTCATTACGAATCGATCATAAAAAATATTACATCCTAGTAGTCCGTGATGAATAATTTGAAAATTGTACTAAATTATAGTCAAGTAATAAAATCAAAGTTTGTATCTTTAGAAAGTATGAGTAATTAAACAACATAGTGCGAAGGATCAAATATCGTTCAATAGTCTCCATGTTTCTGAACTTGGTTTTAATGGTTTAAAAGCATAAAATGCGGAAAGTAAAACATATGAACAACTAAATAATGCATTCTTTAGAGATGAGAAAACTTGTCGGGATTAGATTTTATCTACCCATCAAATACTTAAATTTACCGATCAGTTGTTCGCAACCTAAAACACTCATCAATATCATCACATATCTCTTACATCAGTGTTCATGTCTGAAGCACCGACGAGAATTCTACCGTATTGTCTCATCGGTGATGTCTCAAGAAACTAAACAACACAGAGCATTAAGAATCGTTACCCACTATGAATATTAGATCTAAATCCATTTCTAGAGTTTAGAACCTAATGGATATTCATCCTAAATCCTTATCTAAAGAGTACATGTCTATAGCAACTCAAATCCAAACATAAAGCAAGTAAACAAGAATAACATCGATATAGATTTGTAAAATAGATCTTATACAGTGCCATAATTAAATATGGAGAAAAACACAAGAAAGTGGGGGGGGGGGGGGTTGAATTGTGTTGATAGAAATTTTTTCCCTTTCTAAAAGTTTATTTTGTAAAAGTTTTTCGAACTTAGATGAACAAATTGCTTCTAAAAAGCTTATGACACACTAATAATACTTAGTAAAAATATTACACTATCGAGTAACAACTCAATGTAAATATTTTGTTTCTAAGTTACTTTTTGATGTGGTGTTCATATGAGGTTTTTGGTGTTTTTGTTCCACACTTCTTCAAGCTGTATATCTCTCTTTATATAGCTTTTAGAGAATAATACCGTTGGATTAGTTTGAAAAATGGATTTTGCTGTAAAGTAACTGTTCTTCATTTTTCTCCATTCCCAAGAGATATAGTTGAGATAGGTTATGATTTCTTTTCATGTTAGCATGTAATGCATTGTGACGTGTATTTTGCAGTTGATATGTTTTCAATGCAAATCTACCTTTTGTAATAATTATTGTGTAGGAGGCGTGATTTTATCCAAGATATAGCTGAGAATTATCATCATTATTTTTCTCAAAAACTGTGATCGTTGTCTAGTTTCGATTAGATCACTACTGAAGATATATCTGGACTTTTCTGATCTTTGTTTAGCTTGTTTCTGTATAGAACTTAATTTCTCCTGAAGATGTTACTTTTGTTTCTGGAGTATTGAGCTTGAGACTTATTACTTGTCTTGTTCTTCTGATGAGTAGTTCAAAAACTACTGGTTTGATGTAACGTAGAAACACTATATTGAACTTTAGGATCACGTCTTGTTTTCATAGCTATATGCATCAGCTTATCTGAAATATAATTCTTTCATTTTGATATGTGATATCTCCTTGAAAGCATATTTATATTTTTGATCAGCGAGACAAAAATATTGAGAATGTATTCTTCCAGCTTGTTTCTACTTTTGATTCTTTATCTATTTTGGTTAAGGTGTTAGAATCTTTCTGATGGACGATCTTGTCTTCAGATGTATAGGCAGCAGCTTATTTGAGAGACAAGTTTAGACAAGTTTAGCTGTAGAAGCTTTCTGATTCTTGTATCTTCAGCTTTCTGAGCTTATATTTGCGCAAGCTCATTTATAGAATGTTTCTTGTTATTAGATCTGCATACTCAATAAAATCATTAATAGTACTAAAATTGTTACTCACAAAATATATGGCTATTATCATCAAAACAAAGAATTGCTTATAAGCTTTTTATGATGACAAAAATCATGTATTTTGATGAAACAACTTTACTGACGTAAAAGTATAAACAGATTTAGATTTAACTTTCCCTGAGCTCCCCCAGAGCTGGATAG